TAAATATTATTATAAATGACTACTGTAATCAATAAAATTTTATTATTTCTTAAAAGGAGGATGTAAAAAAAATCTGTAACTTTTGATAGTTATGATAGTCAAATTGAGTATTACATTACATTTATAAATGATAAGATATTGTTTAATTTTAGTAATAGTACTGTTTGAATGAAAAATAAATGACTGATAATGAATTTTAGAAAATGCCAATAAAGTTTAAACTTTGAATCAAGAGTTAATTGACAAAAATTAAATGCTACTCCTCCACTTTATAATATGAAAAAAATATAAAAAATTGTTTCACAACAAAAAATTAGTGTGAATGTAGTAAAAATAACTGAATATTAATTAGATAAGCAGTTAAAGAGTATAATTGCCGCATTGCTGATGAAGATTAAACATTTAAATTTCAGCAAATTCAATCATCATTACGATAGGCGACAATCAATAATGCTAATAAAATAACAGAAATATTAAGAATCAACATTCCTTTCTATAATGATGATAAAATCAATTTTGTGATTAAAAAATACAACAGTTCAAATCTCTTTTCATATTCAAACAATGATCCATAGATTCTAAAATTATAATTACTTTTATTTCTTGAATATCAATTTCTTCTCTTAATTAAATTTAATACACTAAATCTTAACATTAGTAATTTTTTCATTTATATTTTGTAAAATATATAACAAAATTCATTTAATTTTTATAAATTGTCCAAAATAATATAATATATCAACTTATTGAAGCTGATCTTTTTCGTTCCAAATAATGATTAAAAACAACTTGAATTAATTAGATTTAGAATTTCTCTTTTTCTGATTCCGTTTTATTAGAACACTTTAATGAATCCAACAATATTTAAACTAATTCCATTTCATTTTTTATTAAATTGTAATTGTCATAATCATACACCTTATTCTTATTAAAACAAGATATTGTATTATTTTTATTATAAAATATAGCTTAATTGATAGAAAAAGAAGCACATCCATTTTCACATGTCACATCTCCTTTAATATTAATACGTGCGACCGTTTTGCATTCAGAATGTTTACATGGAAATTAATTTGAAAATCTACCTGAAGTTTTTTTATTGAAAATTTAGTTATAGATGTCTATATAATCTAATTCAATAATTTCTAATATTTTTATATTTTATTATGGTTTATATCTAATTTCCTCTTTTCTTTATTATTCTTAAAATAATGCTGGTAAGTATTGATTTTTTCCTGGCTTTTAAATTGGTTTTTAACCTAATAATTGAGGTGATTGATAATTGTAAAAAGTATTTTAGATTGGTTATTATAATTTTTTTAAATTTAATTCCTTTATTTTCTCATCTTTATCAGCTTGGAATGATAAATTTGCAGCTCTAAATGGTGATTTTCCAGCATTTTCTTAATTATTATTCAAATTAAACTATTATCTTTGATTGCCAATTTTGATATTCTCAAGATATTATTACATTTTTTTTTCAGGTGCGTTTTTTTTCATATTTATTAATCCATTATTTTATAATTTATAATCTATGTTTTGTTAATCATTCCTTTATTATATGTTTTGGTCTTCTTTTTTTTAAAGATTTCGGTGTTGCTAATAATGATAAGATAGATTTACTTTTTATTAATCACAATAACCTTAATTTATTTGTTTTTTTTAGATTGAATTGTCATACTAATTGGTTGTTTTAACAATAGGTAAATCCTTTTTAGGTATTTCTACAATCTTATTGTATGTGATATTGTTAGGTTTGGCTTAATTGTATTTATTAGTTTAATCGTCCTTTTTTAATTCTTAAGGTTTAGCCTAAATTGGTTAAATTTTTTATTAAATTGTTTCAGTATTAGTACTTACATCTGCTTTTTATTTTGAAGAACCACTTCCCATTAAAAATTCCTTTTATAATAATTAATAAATTTTCTATTATTCTTTATATAGTGTTAATATAGATGAATATTTGAAATTATCATATTAATTTTTTATATAAAATATTCTACTTATTAACAGGATATATTTTGAACTGAGGCTATAAATGTATTAATAATGAGATTAATTCTTAAATGGAATCTATCAATATTACATAAATAAAGATCGATCCTTTATAAAATAATCAAAACTAAAAAATAGTTTGTGTTTGGAAAATTGATATCAATCTCACTCAGTATCAGATAATTAAACTATCAAAATGTTAAGGTGAAAAATCTATTACTTAGAATATTAAGTTAACTTGATTGATATAATAATTATAAAATCAAGTTAATTTAATATTAATCATCCTTTAAAATTTGGAATCTCAGAAATAAGTCATTTTTAGGAAGATATATTATAAAGAAGATTGTTTCCAATAGGTTAAAGTAAAATTGAATGGAGTTTGGGTTCTCTAAAAAGTATGAGTTTTAAATTTAGAAATTTTTAAGTATCGCTAACTTTTCAAGTATTCTTTACAACAAGAGCAGTTTATATTTTATTAAGATAACTTAGAAAAATAAGACTAAAATTGAAATTCCCCATATGTCAATTTTGACAAGAATAGCGCTTTGAATTTAATGCAAAACAACTTTAGCCTTCCTATTATTCGTATGATAAAGCTCATTCAGAATTGAGTAATATAAATTGTTTTATGATAATTAAATATCGATTTTACTCTGTTTATTATTCAATACAAAAGATTTACAAGAATAAATGATATAGTAGAGCAAAATTTCATCATTTTTTATTTTTTTTCTCTTTTCAATAATTATTCTATTTATTCTTCATAACCGCTGTGCTTATTCAATTTATTCTTTAATTCTTCAATTTATTTGTTCTAACAGCTAACTTTGATAATTTAACATATTTATTGCTAAAATGAGCTCTTAAATAGCTTGCATATTATGTAAATTTCTCAACTTAATCCTTCGTTCTGGAAAAATGACTCATTATTTTGTTTCTTCTAATAGTAATATCTAATTGAGTATTCCCAAAAGATATATCTAATTAACGAATTAACCTTTAAATTTAAATAATTAAATTAAGTTTTTATATTAATTCATGATTCTATTTCCATCTCAAAACCAATAAAAGAATTCTTAAATTCTATCTTAATTATTCTGTATATACTCTCATTATTACAGGGTTTACAACAACTATTCACAACAATCAAAAATTCAGAATTCAATTCGTTAATTCTATCACAAACATACACTTGTTAAATTCCAATTAAAAAATTTAGACTAAAGCTATGTAACGACTTAAAACTTATTAAATTCCAAATTATCATTTAAAGTGTAATTATGAAGTTTAAACTAATCATATGTCCATTTCAAAATTCATATGAATTTTTTTGAGTCCAAACTATTCCTAAATAAATACCCTCATTACCATTATTTTTTCTCTCAATTTCCTTATTTCTGATACACATTTTAAGAAATACAATCCTCTCTCATTAATCTATTATATTCTCAATCACATGATTAAGAATTACTATTGAACTAATAATTTTATCGAATTATTTTATTATTTGGAAAAGATTTTTGATTCTAATTTCAATTTTATTCGATGGAAGCTGAAATGAATTTAACAATATTCAATCATATTTAATGTAAATAATTTAATTATTTCAAGATTTAATGTAAATAGAAACTTCTCCAGCTTTTTTATCTTTGCAGTAATATTATTTGATGAAATCGGCCTTTCATTTAAGCAACATTGTTTAAACTCATATGTGATTATGACTTCAATAATATTTTTAAGCCTATGTGTATGAAATAAGTCTTTTTCTTTGAAATAAAAACCAAATTTAGGAAATGATTACTTTATTTAAAGCACATAAAATTATAAAGCAAAATTATACACAAAAAGGGAAAAAAATTTAACCATAAAGGTTATAAAATCTAAGAGAGCAAACTTTATTATTTAAGGTTTTATTTCTTCTTAAATAAAACCCTAAACTTAACTGCTTGGAAAGGCAGCAGAAATTGAGAGCGATAAATATTTCATAATATTCATATTTGCTAATATAAATTCTAGTAATTCAAGTGCTAAAATAATAGTTTAGGTGCTATGATATTCAACTCCAAATTTTTATCTCAAACAAGCATAATTGACTCCTGCTTTCGTTATTGATATATTAGCGACTCCAGATTGTTAGTATGAATTATTTTGTCATTTTCAAGCAGATTTTCGTTTAAGTAGAGTTTCGAAATTGGAGACAGAAAGAGAGTTAAATCGCTAGCTCCTTAATCTATCAACATACAAAATTAATCCTGGTTTATAAATCATTTAAATAATACCTTCGATTAGTTCTAAAATCTATTTTATTCTCCAGAATATAGTTACTATATCATTTGATGTTGAATATTCCAAAACTAAAATATTATTTTTTGGATTTACTTTTCTAAGAGAAAACCTCAGTCTTCCAAAATTTAGTATAGCAATTTGAGATTTATGAAATATTCTAAAATTCTTGTATTAATAAATTGAGCTTATTTAATTTTGATTATTTCTATTAATTTCGAATGTTATAGTTATGTTCCTACAAATCAAATAAATTAAGTAAAACTTATAAATCTGAATCTTCACATTTTTTATAGAATTTATTGATTCCGGATTAGGAAGTATTTGTGAATATTAATTTATGGTAAATCTGCCTTAAATCCTTTAAAATTATACTTAAAGAATTTTTTTGTAAATATATTACTTTAACATTTATTTCTACATTATCTTCTAAAGGTCACAATTACCATTATCATTATTTTTTAAATATAGTAACAAAATCCATCAATAATTCTTAAAGTCTAAAATTCTTAGTTAAAGTTAAGTTATATTGTAAAAAAAATAATATATGTTTTCTGAAGCATCTTCTCAATTTTGTAACAAAAAAAAGCATTAAAAATTACCAAATTCAATTCTTTATAATTAACAATTCCACCTTATTCTAGCTAAGTTTTTTAGACTTAAATTTCAAATAAATTTTAGGAAAAATGAGGATATTTTAAGATTTTGAGTTTCTTTTTATACCATCGTTACTTATTAGATGGCTTAGACTGAGAGATTTCAAATTTTATTATAATGAGTCACCTTTTAATACAAAAATCAAATTCTTGATATATAATGTCAATTACAATACTTTGGATATATTTATAATGCTTGATCTGCCCAAATTTTTGCTTCCTAATATTTAACAAACAATCTTATAATAAATAATTAATGAACATAAAAAACTTCTAGTAAACAAATTAAATAATTAAGATACCTGTGCCCCTTAATGATGATTGGTTTTTTAATTAAAATTAATGATTGCTCATTACAATATATACCTCTTCAATATTTTTATCATCCCAATATAATTAGTTTGAATCTTAGAAGTTAGTATATAGCTTAATTTTATAAAGTGATTATCTACTCAATATCATTCTTGTGATATATAATTAATTGGAAATAACACTGAATGAAATATTATAAATTTTTTTTAATGTGTTGAATTAAATACTTTGTGTAAAGAAAGAATTAATATATTTAGAATTCAAGCAATGTAATTATTATTTTTATTTTAAATCCTTCGATCTATATCCTTATTAAATAAATTGAATTATTGATTAGCAGATTCCATTTTTTTAATTTAACTGTTTAATTGAATCCTCAAATTCTTTTTCAATACTTTAAATATATTCAAATATGAATGGTAACTCATCAAATTTAAGGATAAGAAACAAGAATTTCATTCTATATAAATAAACACTATAAAGTCTAACTGATGTATAAGATTCTTTAAAGCACGTTAATTTACATTATCGGCATTATCTAAATTCGAAAATTTGTTAGTAGCTTCGTTATTTTGATTCATAATTAATATTAATAGAAATTTGGATTGTATTTCTTGTAACATTTCAGAGGTCTTTTATATAATAAATAACTTAATTCAAATAAAATATTGTAATTAATGCTAGAAAAATTTGGAATCTTAGAGAGTAAAAACAAAACTCTAATATAAGAATGATTAGTTCTGGATTATAACATATAAAATATATTGCTTCTTTGTATAAATATTCTGCTTGATATGAATTCCAAAATTACCTTGTAGTTATCTCATTTAATTTGTTAAATGATTACTTCAAGAAATTAGAAATTAGTCTAATTTCTAATTAAATTAAATTATCAAATTATAAATAAAATCCAACAAATGTACTCCATAATCTGTGTTCTTTGAAACATCTACTTTACTAAGGTTACTCTGTCTTATTCTAATAGATTCCTGTTTATAATAATAAAAATCTTGAATGAATGATATGCAGGAATATTATTATTGGAATCATTTATTATTTAAATTTATGTGACTTCAAACTGCGTCCTGAGTATGCATCATTGATGACGTATTAATTTTAATTACATTGTAATTAAAACTTTCGTAAAAGAAGGTTCTAAAACAACGAACTCGTTTTTCCTATCCATTCCA